TGTGTGTGTGTGTGTGTGTGTATTTTTTTTTTTCCTCTCAAAGAACTCATAGTTTAGGGGAAGAGATAAATATATAGACGACTATGACGTATTCTGGGGTAAGCACAAGGTTTTATCTCTTACATAGACTAGACTAGAAGTAGATTAGTGATATTCTATTTTATTTTATTTCCAACACTTTGCACAGTGCATAGCACACAGTATGTGCTCAGTAAATGTTGAATGAATGACAATTCATTTCAGAGTGAAAGACAATTCATACGCAACAGCTTTCTCAAAATTTACAGCGCCAAGGTTACTGATGATAAAGCTTATGTGAAACAGTCTCTGAATTATTTTGATAAACTGAAACAAGCTTTGAACAACTTAAGTTCCTCTTAGATTTTACTCATGGAAATAAACATGCAAAATAATTTATAGAAAAATATTGTGGCATATTTAAAAATTGGCATTTTCCTCATTATTTACCCCATAACATCCTTAGAAGAATTATGAGATGCTTGTAGTTAAATAGAAGAGTAACAAGGAGATCACTCTAAATGAAAATAAGAAGACATAAGATTTTCCTTAATATACATAGAAATAAAACATATGCTCATATTGTTAAATAAATTGTAGAAAAGAGTATGTGTGTGTATCGATCAATAGAGATATAGATAAGTTCTGGACTAGAAATGCCAAAAGTCTTCCTTAAGATGAAAAAGAAATAATATTTCAAACTTTTCCCTAATGTCAAGTGAGGTTTTAGCAAGTATATTATAGTTTTTAATGGGCAGGCAAATACTATGCTACTGTTTGGTGTAGTCCTATGGAAAATAGCATGGATTCAAACAATGTCAAAAGAGATTGTGTCTCTTTCTGTGTCTTAATTAAATTTCCCTGGGAGGGCACAATAAAAGAAAGTGAAAAACATGCAGTAAGAGAAGTAAGCATGAGGTAGATTCCAGCAAGGAATTTTAATTCAGGAAAAAAATTGAGGGGATATATAAATTCCAACATGACACATCAAATAAAGGTAAAAGTTATGTCGATGAAAATTTTACTATTAATAGAAAATTAATAGTAAATGAAAATCTTTAGCTATTTCATTATTAATTACTGGCCTATGATTAATATAATATTTTATCTATTCTAAATGTATTTTTAACATTTTAGCATGTCTGACATGAGTCTGACAATAAATGTGGTAAGAAAACACTGTTTCATAGTTTCACTGGCAGTATCTTTTCTTAGTGGTATATAAAATGGTGGATCTTAACAATAACAAGAAAGATAGGGAGAAATATGGTAATATAGTACCAGAGAGGTTATTTTCCTTATTCTCAAACATTGAAATCCTTAGCAATCAAGGATACTGCAATCCTTAGCAACTTTCTCACGGACTACATAAAAAGGTTGAAGATAAAACCAAAATAACATAGAATTAAATTTTATCCATTCAGCATATATATAGGAGAAGTTTTATACTGAGTTTGAGATTAAGAAACAAGAAGATACTGAGATAAAGCAGTAGCTAAGCAGGTACTGAGTCTAAAATAATGCAAGTATGAGGTTGGGGGATAATCGCTGATTTATCTGAAAGATGCCTCAGCTGAGGAAAGTTGCTAAGCAACCTGCAATAGGTGAGGGGAATTGTTTTTAAGACTTTTTCTACAAGCTCCTTTATGTTAAACAAACACTCAGCCATTCTCTACAATTTTTTAGAGGAAACAATCACCTAGACAGAAAGGAAACAAAGTACCATTTTAAGAGACAAAAAGAGAAGATGACAGATGTATTCAGGTAGAGATATCTTTGTATCCTTTCAACACCTATTTCAGTACTCAATAAATATTTGTTTCTTGATTGAATGAATAAACAGATAAACAAATGAGATGGAAGGTGAAATCTCCAATCCAGTAGAATGTTAAGGTACAGTTCAAGATCAAAGGGGATGGGCTCTCCACATCAGATATCCCAAACCAAATGGCTATGAGGTATTCACTAGTGAAGAAAAGGTATGTGTGACACGACCCTAGAGATAGATTTTCAGCACTCGAGTTAAAAAAAATTCAGTAACATTTCTGGTTAGGTACATTCATTGAGATTTGCCTTCCCCCACTGCCAAATTAGAGAAGGATGTTTCCGGCTTCTTCCTTTAATACCTGCAAAAACAACAACAACAACAACAAAACTCTCTCAAAATTTACTGAATGTATTTTTAAACTGCATCAATTTTTATTTCCAAAGCTTTTACTTAAATCAAACTACGCATGCAGCAAAGAACTAATTTAATGCCATTACCCAGCTTTTCTGAGAACCTCAGTTCCCTCCAATCAATACAACATTGTTCTGTTACATAATGCTACTAGCAACACAAAAATGTGCAATGCGATACACGACAACTTATAATTACAAAAAGACGTATTTTTTTTCTGTAATTAGTTTCCCAGGAATTATTAAACAAGATTTTTTTTTTCTGTATTTGTACGTAGTTCTCTTACCTGCTGTGCAGAATTCTATAATTTCACTCCATTCAGACACAACATAATCACCATCAACTTGTTTTGAGGCTGTCTGCACTGCTACTGTATACTCAGTTCTTGGGCTCAAAAACCAGTGCCCACGGACAGTCATTGGCAAGGGAACAGCTTTTGCCACTAATTTTGTTGGAACATCCTAAGAAAGGAAGAACAGAAAAAAGGAAAGAAGGAAGGAATGAACAAAAGAAATAAGTTAATTTAGCAGTATAACTTGAATCAATTATAAACAACGTAAAAGAACTTATTAAATGCCCAGCTAATGATAGAATTGTCCTGTTTAAAGATATTTAACAATTATTATATTCCAATCTCTTACTCTTCAGATGTAAAAATTAAGGCCCAACTTGATCAAGAGACAATGCCCAAGGTCATATAGCTAGTTAATGACATAAATGTACTTGGATTTTAGTTTTCTTGATTTCCAGGATAATGTTCTTTTCTGCACACTCCTTATAAAGCAACATTCTAATAGTAAATGATAAAATGAAACAGAAACATGAAATAAAATTCAATAGATTTAGTATTTAAAATTACATTTAATATATACTACTCAATAATTTTGAGTAGCCCATTACTAAGTATTCTATATTTAAAGGGAGAGAACGTTTTAAAAATAAATATTTTAAAATAAATGAATTAGTTTTATATATAAATGAGGTGACATTTGCTTCATTTGTATTCAAGTATGTTATATAAGTACTTCACTTATTTTTATTGCTGAATAATATTCCATTGTAAGGATATACTAGCTTTTGTTTACTTATCAGTTGATAGACATTTGGTTTCTTTTCACTTTTTGGCTATTATAAATAATGCTGCTATGAACATTCATGAATAAGTTTTTGTGTGGAGCCTATGTGTCACGGACAATTTTAGATATTTCTAAACAATGACTAATAAGGTAATTAAACTTGCTAGCTGAATAGTCACCATATTTCCAAAGATATGGTATTCTAAGTATGGAGTGAGTAAAAGGGGTCGAATCTCAACATCATTTAATGATAACTATGTCAAAGCTACTTCAAGAAGGCAAATGTCAGCAAAGAGTATATTAATCACCATAAAGCATAATCAAAATGGGAACACAGGAAAAATAATGACTTATTACTCTCGTTCTCTCTCACACTTATCTGTATGTATAATCCTTACTTATAGTTAGTAAGTAAAACTGTACATCTAGTAAAATGTATAATTTTCAGGGAAGATAATTCTTTCAAAAGGTTTGTCAAGTTAAATTTAGTAACAATATAAAAAAATAGAACATCATCAGAGAAAGTACCGAAACATAAGAAAGAATACTTAAACCAGGTAACTATTATCCATTCTATAGCTAATTCTGAAGAGAGATATATAACAGAAATGTTTTAAGTAGATAGTATGAGAATAAATATCAAAGAAATATTAAATGTCTAAAACATGTAAAGGTTAATTTTCATTCTCAAACCATAAAAGACTACATAAAGCAATTTTCAACCCTGAAGTATTTTAACAAATACCCTAAACTTTATAAGCTATATCACATTTCTCTATTGGTAGTTATTATAGAGAAAAATGTATGCTTCAGTGGAAAACTATGCATCACCTACAGCACACTCTTCTGGCTATCTTCTGATTTTGCAGAAGCTATCTTACAACTCTGTAATTTGTAGATAACTGGTAACAATTTAGTTACTTTTGTCTAAAGACATACAACTGAATTTTGTTCAGTGGAGGGACAACCTTCCCCTCTTGCCTTTGCTCCCTCCTCCAACCCAAATCAATTTTGCCTCCACTTATACATTTATTTCAATATCTTGTTATAACTGTGTCTTCTTTTTAAATTATCCTTTTAACTGGTTGTAATACGTCATCATTTACCTCATTAATGAGTTAAATAAAATCTTTACTACATGTTCATTTTTATGTCTGTATTAGAGTAATGTTTTTACCTTTTTGGGAAAAATTATATTTTAACAATATACTTGGCATTTCATTTTCTTACAAAATTTCTTAGAGAAATAGGATTTTTAAATGACATAATTTTTATTATTCCCAGTGTCAAATACATCATATAATTAATAGAACATTATTCCTTCTTTCAAAATGTCCTCATTCTTTGAAAGATTTGAAGATACGAATATAGGTATGTGATAGGATTTTACCTTGTGTTTAAATTTATTGGAGTTCTTGTTTTCTTTCTTGTTGAGGTCAATAAAATAGTGTGTAATACGGTCCTTTGATTTTGAATCCATTTCCCATGAAATCTTGAATGAGTCACATGTAATGTTGCTTATTTTGATGTTATGTGGTACAGGAAGTTCTTCCATCTCTGCTATGCCACTGTCTTGTGATTTGTTTCCTGTAAGAAAACAGTGCACAGTTAGTTTCCAATAGTAGAAATTTCCAATTTGTAAGCTGTGTACATATTTCTGAACTCAGCTATCTAATTACTATCTGAGATTTCATTTTGTACATGAAGTAATTTGAGTGTTAATGACAGTAAATGACGTGTAGAAGGTCATATAACCAATAAAAAGCAGAACTAAGTCCTTATCACCTCTATATTTTCATTTTATTTTTCCAATTTCTGCTTGAAAGCAGAACAAAAGCAAGAACACTGATGATCCATCTTTCTAATCTATAAAAGATTAGCTTTACATGGTAGGTTCCATCTGAAAAGCCACAAGAGACCATTTTTCCTATATGACCAATTGATTCTGCTCTAAAGTAATATCAGGTGTTTTAAGCTAGATGATGTCAGAAATGTTGAATGAAGAGTCCAGTCAAATAAAGGGAATTATTCTTTAAAAATATCTATGTGGTATCAGTGACAGTCTATAAATATTGCTTCTCCTTTTCCATTTTAGAAATTTATACACAGAAAGAGCATATAATGGCCATATCATATATACAAATAATATTGAAGACCATTCTCTTACAAGTAGTTATGTCAAGAATTACTCTAGGAATCTTTTTACCTTTTGTACCTTGATAAATTTAATTTTGAGTGCTAAAACAATAGATAACACTAGAAGAGAGATAAAAAATAATTGCTCTGTTGACCAATATTAAAATCTTGAAAAACTGATATCTAGTTACTTTAAAGACTATGTCCTACATTTCCACTTAGAGAAAATGCTATCACTTTGGCTAAGAGCATGATAGATAACAAGACAAAAAAAAAAAAAGAGAAGAAAATATAGACTTGCCAAGTTTGTTTCATATATAGGAAAGACATCCTGGATCAATTTTTACTCCACCTCTCCTTCCTATGTTCCCTTCCCCCAAGCGAACATAAAATCCAATGCTCCAGAAGAGAAAAAAAATACAAGTTATTGTTACTCATATGATAAAAAGTGGTCATAAATCAGCTACATAACGTGTTCCTTAACAGAATAAAATAGCAAATCTTGATCACCAAAAATCAAAAACAATGATTGTCACCCTGTGGCAATATCTTCCAGCTCCAGATTAGATTGTGCTCTTTGCTCACACATCACATCTCAATTAATGATATAACTTTAAACAATTCCCAATATTATTAAGTCTTTGACCTATGTTGTCTCATCTCAAGCTGTGTTGTGGCCAGAGGAAACCAATGGTCATTGAAAACTAATTTCAAAACAATAATTTCATTATTATCATTTTCTGAACAATAGTTTTAAAAATCTTTTTTCTTCTATGTATTTCCCTCACACCCTAAGTTTCTCCAGATCCCCTCTCCAACGACACTCCCAGAAAAATTACTTACTCATCATCTTCTTTCCTCCCCACCTGGCCTCATAGAATCCCTAAATTGCTTAACGGCCTTCAGAAAGGAAAAGGCAATAAATACTTAAACATTAATAATTTTTGTTCTAGTTAGAAAAGCTATCATTTTCAACCTATTATTCTGATTGCAGTTATGTTTAAAATATAAGTAACAGTAATGAAAATCTTTCTGGACTCTAATGGTCGAAATTTCTGTAGAACCCATCTACATTATGACTGTCTATATAATTTCACAACTGGGTAAGGAAAATTATTTAAGATCATAGAGAAAAATAAAGCTATTTTGCATTTGATCCAATTTCATGAAAATATAACTTCAATATATTAACACTATGTAAAATACTATATTTTGCCATTTAAACTTTCACTATTCTTATTCAACCTTAAAGTTACAATTATTTCCTAGAATACCTTGTTTTATATATTTTTATTAAAACTTGAGAAAAAATTATTAAAATGTAAAATTTCTGCTCAAATCATTTTCCATTCAGAATATAAAGCTCAAACCTATAAAGGATTTGTTATAACAAAGCTTAAACCTAAAGGGTTTGTTATATCAAGAATTTTCATTTTCAAGTTCCTTATCATAGGCCCAGTACTTAACAAAGCCACTAGATTATCCTCTATGCGGCTTTCTTACTTGGGCAGAACAGGTAAAGAATTTAACATAAATTAGTCCTAAATTACATGTAACATCCTTCTTCCTCATACTGCGAAAATCAACATTTAACTGAGATTTTGAGACAAGTGACAGAAGATAATCATTCTGTCTATAAAACTGGTGAAACGACAGTGATCCACAAGACATTAATATTTAATAACCAGCCAGTACTATCTTAGATCTGTATAATGAAGCGTACTTTCAAATGTGGCTTCTCTTTCTTAGTAAGACTTCATCTTAAGGTTTATTCTAGCTACATTTCTCTACTTTGCACATCAAATGTTTCTAATATTTGTGGCTATACTGCTGATTGGTAATACTAAATGGAGAATAAATGCCATTTTTATCTGTCCAGAATATGAAAACTGCTTTTCAGAACATTTCAAAAGTACTTTTATAACAACAGTGATTATTGGAATGCAAGCTGAAAACATTGCCAAATGATACTAACATGTTTTATATGTATGGCTCTTCTCTCACTAAACTTAAATTGTCTTACAAAAGAATAATCAGATTAAAAAAACGGCTTCATCGAAATGTAATTTACATACCATACAATTATTCATTTAAAGTGTACAATTAAATGACTTTTAGTAGATTCACAGAGTTGTGCATTCAACCTCACAATCAATTATAGAACATATTTTTTCTCCCAAGAAACCCCACGCCTTAGCCATCACTTCCCAACCCCTACTTGACTCCTCTCCTCAGTCCTAGACAACCACTAATCTGTTTTATGTCTCTATAGATTTGCCTACTTGGACACTTCATATAAATGGATCATATAATACTCTATGGTTTGTGAATGGCTTCCTTCACTTAGCATAATATTTTCATAATATTTCTGTGTTGTATAACTACTTCATTTATTTTTATTGCTGAATAATATTCTATTGTATGGATATACTAGCTTTTGTTTACTTATTAGTTGATGGATATTTGATTTGTTTCCACTTTTTGGCTATTGTAATTAATGCTGCTATGAACATTTATGTACAAGTTTTTGTGTGAATATGTTTTCATTTCTCTTAGGTATATATCTAGAAGTGAAATTGCTGGTTCATATCAACTTTATGTTTAATTTGCTGAGAAACTGCCTATTTTCCAAAGCGGCTGCACCAATTTACAGTCCCATTAGGAATGTATGAATAGTCTAATTTCGCCACATTCTCATCCACACTTATTATCTATCTACTTTTGTTGCTTGCACTTTTGTTGTCATATCTAAGAGAACATCGCCTAATCCAAGGTTACAAAGATTAATTCCTAAATTTTTTTCTAAGAGCTTCTAAGAGCTTAGTTTTAACTCTTACATTTAGGTTTTTGGTCCATTCTTAATTAATTTTTGTATTTGGTATGAAGTAGAGGTCCAGCATTATTCTTTTTCATGTGGATATGCAGTTGTCCCAGCACCATTTATTTAAAAAGATCATGCTTTCCTCATTTAATTGCCTTGGCACCCTTGTTAAAAATCAACTGGCCATAAATGTAAGGCTTATTTCTAGACTCTTAATTCTGCTCCAATCTACATCTCTATCTGTATTCTATTACTACATTAGCTTGATAGCAATAGCATTGTAGTATATTTGGAATTGAGAAGTGTGAATCCTTCAATTTTGTTCTTTTTCAAAATTATTTTGGCTATTCTGGGCCACTTAAATTTCTATATGAATTTTAGGATCAGCTTGTCAATTTCTGCAAAGACAACAGGTAAAATTTTGATAAGGATTGAATTGAACCTTTAGATCAATTTGGGTGGTATTGCTATCTTAATAATAATATTGTCTTCTAATCCATGAACATGAAATATCTTGCCATTTACTTAGGTCTCCTTTATTTCATCTCAACTTATTTTAGTGCCCTAAAAGCAAGAGTGTTTAATAAGGAAATTTATATTATCAATGAAAAGATCACTGTAGATTCACTTATTTTTGAAAGTCTATTATGGAAGTTTACAAGAATTCACCAAGTATAGAAAATAACATAATGAATCCCCATGAACTTATCACTCAGCTTCAACATTTTGCCATTTTTGTTTTATTTATTTACCACCTGGCTTTCAATTAATTCAATTTTTAATTTCTTGAAAACATTTAAATATAATTTCAGACTTAAAGCTGCAAGAATAGTAATAAGAGCTGCCATATCCTTCACTCAGATTCTCTCATTATTCAATCTTATACTTTCCATTCCTCTCTTTTCTCATTCCTGCAGTTTCCCTGGATCCTCCCTTCTCTTTCCACCTGCTCTAGGCGTGCACTTTGGGCAGGAGTTTGAGAAATAGTTCCACTGGAACTTTTTTTTAACTTAGAGGTAATTTGAAGGTTCTATATTCTCAGTTGTAAAGTTATGTTGAAAGTGTGGGATTTAGGTCACTATATATTTTTTCTTGTTAATTTCTATATAATTTCTGGGTTGGGAGATTCAGATTTTGGTGATCGTCATTACTTCAGCTACTTAGAAATCAATTTATTTAAAACAATTTTTAGACTTTGGAAACATGGTGGAGTGAGAGACATCACCAGATCTCTCCCCTTGAAACAACAATAAGCTGAACATGTAAAACTCAACAATAAACACCCAAACTGCACACTAGCATGTCTCAGCGTGGGATCTGTGCATAAGAGCTACCATAGGTCAGAACCCCGGGTGTCAAGTGGTGGACTGGGAGTAATAAAGAAGCTGCCTCTCACAGCCACCAGAGCTCCTTGCAGGAGGTGGGGGAGGGGTGAAGGAGCGGCGAGTTCCCTGAACATTCCTGCCTGGGATAGCTGTGGCTGCCCAGTCATCAGGGCAGAAAGCAGAGAAGCGGGACAGGCAGGCAGA